CCTGATATCATACAGAGAAAATCAAAATATTCAAGTGAACAAAGTCAAAAACATGACAGAGGTTTCTAATCAGCTTCTTTCCCTACCTGTTGAAGCTCGTCCATTTATTCATCCCACCTTCCTCTCAAAAGTACCAAACATTCATTTTCTCTTCTTTCAATCCGTTCGTCTGTTTACCCGTCAGACTCCTGCCGTCTATTCAGAGTTCGTCCCAAAAGCTCAGTGTAAGACTTTAAAATCACAGCAAAGTGGACAATCAGGTCTATTTTAGAAAAGCTATGTACAAAAGTATAAACAGAGAACACAAAGAAAACACGTATTCAGACTTTGTAAATAACAAATTACCCTCCAAACAAGCAAACTATTGAACACGTCACCATTTTTCACAGTAAAAATATTTCTAAAGAACAAGAGATTTTCATCTGGGCTCCATTTTATAAAGCAGGGTTAGTGGCAATCCAGAATAATTTCTGGGTTAAATTCATGCTGTCAGTTCATCAGGATTATATGGAAGCCCGTTCCCGCCACAGGAAAATAAAAAAAATGCCACATAGAAAGTCATAATTATGAGATTCAAAGTAATAATTCTGAGATATTCGACATTCAAACTTTCTATCTCATAATCATGACTTTCTATTTGGCATTTTGTTTTGTTTTGTTGTGGCAGAAACAGGCTTCCATAGAATCATCACGCTACTGAAATATTCTGTGGTTTTTCTGAGCGGCGGAGCTCCGCACATCGGCTGGAGGTAGCCTAGTATCCCCAGTAACAGCAGCCACAAACCGGCCAATCCCTGGGGGGTTTCCGGCCAACAGTCAACATGAAGCATTTTTTTATTATTTATTATTTTGGTTGACTACAAGTACCAGAATATAACGCAGAATACTCAATAAATCTAGTAATTAATTGCAAAAGTGTTTTGGAAGAGTTCAGTTTAGGGCTGCAACTAATGATTATTTTCCAAATCGATTAATCTGTTGATTATTTGTTCGAATAATAACAGGAGAGTCAAAGGTTATTTAAAGAAGACTTTTTGCTAAATTAAACGAGGTGAAACAAAAACTTTTGCACTTTAGAAGTTCTGGATAGAGCAGATTGTCTGACAAAAAAATTTTTTATCTTAAATGCAAAATTTGTACATATTTTTTTTCACAATTTTGTTAAAATTTCTCCTCGAAGTGGGTCACTCTGTCGGTTAAAAGAACGTTTTAGAGTCTATACACTCCTTTACTAAATTACNGGTTATTTAAAGAAGGCTTTTTGCTAAATTAAACGAGGTGAAACAAAAACTTTTGCACTTTAGAAGTTCTGGATAGAGCAGATTGTCTGACAAAAAAATTTTTTATCTTAAATGCAAAATTTGTACATATTTTCTTTCACAATTTTGTTAAAATTTCTCCTCGAAGTGGGTCACTCTGTCGGTTAAAAGAACGTTTTAGAGTCTATACACTCCTTTACTAAATTACTAGGCGATTATTTTAATAATCGATTAATCCCGATTAATCCAATTTATTGTTTCAGATCTAGTTCAGTTAGAAAAGTAGAAGGAAAAAGAAAACTTTTCCTTATTCATAAACAATAGATCCTCCTTGCTTTTCGTATAAACCTGGTGGAGTGCTACGCTTATGCCATTGTTTTATGCTAACAGTTCCGCAGGAGGAGAGATCCCGGCTTGGATGCGGCACCGCGTCGAGCTGCAAAGTTCCAATTTCCAACTCAAGCTTCTACTGCTTTGAATGTGCATCAACCCTTCAAAGCTAAAAACGCAGCACATGTTGAAGCTTTTAAAACATCAGAAATGGTGCAGACAGTCGCCATGATCTGCAGGACCTCCTGACAGCTGCTAACAACCGTCCGACATACACTTTGCTTTGTCCAGGTCTCTCTAGCAAAAGAGATTCATACTCTCAATGAGTCATACCTGATTAAATAAAGGTTACAATCAAAAAACCAGGAGCCCCTGATGCTCAAAACATGTTTATGTTTAATGCAATAACGTGCGTTAGCGTCCATTAGCTAAGAAAGAACAGATGCTGTCACCAAGCAGATTAGCTGCTAAAGCTCCTTTCACACCTTGACGATTTGGACCAGCGTATGCCTGATGTACGAAAAATCTTGCAAAAACACTGGCATACGTTGGTTAAGTTATGAGCGCCCTGAAGTACTATACTAATATGCTAATATGCTATACGTGGGGGATATGTTCCACTCAGTTATCTGTTGGTTGACACACGTTAAGTTTAAGTTACTCATAAGTCGTGGCATCTAGCTCATCCAATACCTCTGAGTAACTTATCAAGAACTTCTCTCCATCGCATATCAAGGTATCTGACGTGTTCCAGACGAGCGCTGAACGTGTTTCTAGCTTCCAGCTGCTGTATAATGGCGTATTGGCAGCGTTTTGGTATAAAGGGGGTTCACAGGAGGAAACCGTGTGATGAATCCTCCCTGCGTTCACGCCCACCACCAACAAACTTCCTAGCAGACATGACGCAAAATCTGCTGAAACCTGCTTTCTTTCGTTTCTTATTTTTCTTTTTTTTTTTTTCTTTTTGTTTGGCGAGCGGTAAACAGCAGCTAGGTTAATACCACACCTGCGAAGTTTAGAGAAA